TTGTGACACCAGTGAGTGAGTGGTGGCACTGGGCACAGTATCCACTGTGAGCCTGACACACCCGCTTTGAGACAACTAACTGCTATTCAATCTATAACAGTGAAAAAAGTTTTTTGGTTTTAAATGCACGCTATTGTGACACCAGTGAGTGAGTGGTGGCACTGGGAACAGTATCCACTGTGAGCCTGACACAGACGCTTTGAGACAACTAACTGCTATTCAATCTATAACAGTGAAAAAAGTATTTTGGTTTTTAAATGCACGCTATTGTGACACCAGTGAGTGAGTGGTGGCACTGGGCACAGTATCCAGTGTGAGCCTGACACACCCGCTTTGAGACAACTAACTGCTATTCAATATATTACAGTGAAATTTTTTTTATTTTTTTTAAATGCAAGCTATTGTGACACCAGTGAGTGAGTGGTGGCACTGGGCACAGTATCCACTGTGAGCCTGACACAGACGCTTTGAGACAACTAACTGCTATTCAATCTATAACAGTGAAAAAAGGTTTTTGGTTTTAAATGCAAGCTATTGTGACACCAGTGAGTGAGTGATGGCACTGGGCACAGTATCCACTGTGAGCCTGACACAGATGCTGGCAGACAACTAACTGCTATTCAATCTATAACAGTGAAAAAAGTTTTTTGGTTTTAAATGCACGCTATTGTGACACCAGATATGAGTGGCAAAGTACATGGGCAGAGGTCTGCAGAGCACACGCTGAAGGAGGCCTGACACCCGCTTTAAGGACACTGACTGCTATTAGCTTACACTGAAAAAGTTTTTTTCTTTGTAAAATTCACCCATGGGCAGATAGACACGAGTCACAAACAATCCCCCAACGTTTCGGCATTACCTCCTGGTAGCCTTTAACGTTGGGGAATTGTTTGTGACTCGTGTTTCTGCCCATATAGGCTTGTGGAATTTGGTAAATATAATTGTTTAGTTGTTTAGCCTATTTGGTCACTGTTATATTGTTAAATTTTTTATGTATGGTTTGTATTTGTATTGTAATAAATATATATAGATAGATACTATTGTATCAGTTGGTGTGCATTCCTTTCTTTTTGACTATTTACTTTATTGGTATTGGAGGGAGTACCTTTTTGGAATAGCACTCTTAATTGTGGTGGTGATTATATTAAGTGTCTCTCCACACGTTACATTTTGCATACCTCCAGCTGTAGTACACAAGGCACCTACTATCTCCCTATCTCCTCCCCTGCATTTTGACACACTGTTCAAGAATGCCCTGGATTTATTAACCAAATGGAGTATCATTTTGAGGCCTCACCGGGATCTTTTCACACAGACCAAGCTAAAATTGGTTACCTAATGAATCAATTAAAAGGTAAAGCTTTAGCTTGGGCCAATCCATTATGGGAGAGTAATAGTAGGGTGGCACACAATTACCAGGAGTTCCTTACGGAATTCAAACTACGTTTGAACCTTTAGGCAGAGAGGATGACGCCTCTACTGCCCTGATGCCAGTGGCGTCTCTAGGATTCATTTTTCGGGGGGGCACATGGAGGGCCAGTGACAAAAGTAGGGGGGCACATTTAACCCCGCCCTTGTCACAGTTTGACCCCGCCCCTGTCACATGTTAAGCCACGCCCCCGACACAATGTGTTTTGTTTTTTTAATAATACCTGGTGGAGGATTCATTATTTTCCACCAGGGATTATTAAAAAAACAAACACATTATCCTTGATACAGTGCCATAGTTGCCAACATTTGAAAAAAAATTTCCAAGGACATTTTGCAGCACAGCTATCAATTACTGTCTGGGTATAATATCCCTGGACAGTCAGTGCTCTCTGTATAATACAGGGTTGTGTGTATAATAAATTGGGACACTCAGTGCTCCCTGTATAGTGCTGCTCTCTGTATAATACAGATCTGTTTGTGTTTAATATCCCAAGACAGAGAGCAGCACTATACAGAAGCACTGACTATCCCAGGATATTTTATACACACAGATCTGTATTATACAGATAGCTGAGCATAAACCCCAATCTCTAGACTACTAGTACCTGTCAACAGCAGCTCCCAGACGCGTGTAACAGGGCTAAAGTGTGCGGCAGCTCACACAGATTATTCAGCGGTAAAGTGCACTCGCTGGCAGAGCCAAACTGGGAATCCCTGGGAATCCAAAGCAGCCCTGAAAAAAAATGTATGCCATTCCTACAAGTCAAAATATATATATATATATATATATATATATATAGTACAGTAAGCACACAAGCTCACTGACATGCGCAAATAGGCTTACTGACAGACAAAACTCTCTGACTCACACACAAGCTTACTACAGACCATCTCACTTGTATAAACAGAAGGCTCACTACAAAGAAGTTCAGGGACACACACACAAGCTCACTAAAGACAAGCTCACTGACACACACATGCTCACTAAATAGAAGCTCACCGACACACACAAGCAGTACCATTTTAACAGAGTTAAGGGCCCCTGGGCAAAGCAATGCACTGGGGCCCTTCCTACACAACAACTCACAGGAATTTTAATTATTGATAGACTGCGGAGTCCATACACACACACAGACTGCTGAGTCCATACACACACACAGACTGCTGAGTCCATACACACAGACTGCTGAGTCCATACACACACACTGCTGAGTCCATACACACACACACACACAGATTGCTGAGTCCATACACACACACAGACTGCTGAGTCCATACACACACACAGACTCTGCTGAGTTCATACACACACACACTCTGCTGAGTCCATACACAAACACACACAGACTGCTGAGTCCATACACACACTCTGCTGAGTCCATACACACACTCTGCTGAGTCCATACACACACACAGACTCTGCTGAGTCCATACACACACACAGACTGCTTATCCATACACAAACACACAGACCAAGCTGAGTCCATACACACAAACACACACACACCTGCTGAGTCCATACACACACACAAACACACACACAGACTGCTGAGTCCATACACACACAGACTGCTGAGTCCATACATACAGACTGCTGAGTCCATACATACAGACTGCTGAGTCCATACACACAGACTGCTGAGTCCATACACACAGACTGCTGAGTCCATACACACAGACTGCTGAGTCCATACACACACAGACGGCTGAGTCCATACACACACAGACTGCTGAGTCCATACACACACAGACTGCTGAGTCCATACACACACACACACAGACTGCTGAGTCCATACACACACACACAGATTCTGCTGAGTCCGTACACACACACACAGACTCTGCTGAGTCCGTACACACACACACACAGACTCTGCTGAGTCCGTACACACACACACAGACTCTGCTGAGTCCGTACACACACACACAGACTCTGCGGAGTCCGTACACACACACACAGACTCTGCTGAGTCCCACACAGACCCCCTGCTTGAGTCCTGGCATAACACACACACAGACTCTGCTGAGTCCGCATTAACACACACACACACAGACCTGCTGAGTCCATACACACAGACTGCTGAGTCCATACACACACACAGACTGCTGAGTCCATACACACACACAGACTCTGCTGAGTCCATACACACACAGACTGGGGTTGAGTCCATGCTACAGGTGTGTGTATGGGGATAGTGTATGTGTGTAGAGTGTATGTGTATGGGGCAGTGTGTGTGGGGCAATATGCGTGTAGGGGGCAGTATAAAGGGCTATGTGCGCAGTAGGGGGCAGGCAAAGGGCCATGTATGGGGGCTCAAAGTGCGGTGTGTGTATGGGGGGGCTGTATGGGGGGCAGTGTGTGTATGGGGGGCAGTGTGTGGGCAATGTGTGTGTATGGGGCAGTTTGTGTGTATGGGGGGCAGTATGGGGGGCAATGTGTGTATGGGGAGCAGTATGGGGGGCAATGTGTGTGTATGGGGGGACTGTATGGGGGGCAGTGTGTGTATGGGGGCAATGTGTGTGTATAGGGCAGTATGGGGGGCAGTGTGTGTGTGTGTGAACACCCCCCCCCCCAGCCTACCTGTCACTGGAGTCTGTTGCTGGGGGTCAGGCAGCCATATTCTGGGCTATTGCTTTACGGCGGGGGCGGGGCTTACCGGCGGGAGGCGGGGCTTCGTTTGGGGGCGGGGCCTGTGCCGGGGAGCCAATCAGTGCTCCCTCCGGCCACAGACAGCCCCCAGCACCTCAGCACTGCATTCCCTCGGGCTGTAACAGGCTGTTACAGTCCGAGGGAAGCCCATGGCCAGCAAGTTGCTGGCATTTGGGGGGGCCCAAGGGGGGGCACAGCATGATGTAGGGGGGGCCATGGCCCCCTCTGGCCCCCCCCTAGCGACGCCACTGTATACTGCACACAAATACACACCTGCATTCACACAAACATTCACACACATACTCCATACAAAAACATACTTTCAAATACACATTGTGTATATGTATATTTTTATACACAATATGCACACACTGCATCTAACACACACTGCATCCACTACAAATGCACTGCAATCAAACGCAAACCTTACATACAAACACACCCCTGCATTAAAACACTAAAATTATATACAAACACCCTTTATTCAAACACCAACACTACACACAGAAATCAAACCTGCATAGCATTGTTGAAGTTCTCTACCTTTTGGCCACACTTGCACTGGAGGGGGGGGGCAGAAAACATGCTTGCACCAGGGCACTCTCTACATTAGTTCCACCACTGGGATAATCAATGTGAGGTGCCTGGATAAAAGAGCGGGACACAGCACTTCTGATTCTGACTGAGTCTGTGAGTAAAACACTCTAATACTGATTGCCAATGATATGCTAAGTTTCTGCCTCCAAAACTGCCATGATATCCCTGAACTATACCTCTAAAACTGCCATGATATGCCAATTTTAAGCATCTAAAACTGCCATGATATGCCACTTGTATGCATCTAAAACTGATTGTCATGGTGTACATTTTCAAAAAAAAAAACTTCATTAAAAGCAAGTGGTTTATTGTGGTTCATTTTTTATACTATGTTACCTCCTAAATCGTAAACTTTATGAAACATGGAGAGGTCAAAAGCTGTAATTACATCTTTTCCACATATACTCCAAACTGAGTCCATAAATTGCATGAAGGTTTTAATCTCATCCTCTGACCTACAAAAACATAATTTAGAAAGTAATTATTAGTATTTTACATTTGTCTTCATTTGCAAATAAACACAAAACATGGTTCAAGTTTAAAGTATGGGAGCTTAATTAATCTCTAATTCACAATAAGTAAACAGAGTTGAGTAACATTCAAAGTGTAAGAGTTATAGAGAGTAACCTTTACAGAAGGATGCTTCTATAGGGCTCTGAGACAGATAGCTGCTATAACATTGCAAAATTTACTGAATCTCCCACAAATTAAAGAAACACTTTTCCTTACGCATGGTGAAGAAACAGAGATGCCAAGGACAGTATCCAAACAGACAGTATCCAAAATATTGGAGATGTATTTCTCTGTACTGCAAAAACATCTAGAGCCTGTGTGCCAAAAAGAATATGGCTTTCTCTGAAAACCAAGCTCTAGATGCACTGGATGATAACCAGTAGCAGAGGATGAAGACACTTGGGGTCTTTCACCTTGCTAGAAGTCTTTACCACAGAGCTTGAACAAATTCATACATCCTTTGCTGATCAGGTAGATGGCATGGGTGACAGGCACAAAAGTAAAATGTATGGAACCAGGTCATGCCAGGAGAAATAGATTCCTCGGAGCTCACACAATATTTCAGATGGCTATTAACCACAGTATTCTTGTAAAAACAAGCTACGGTAAACTAGCCATAGTTGATGGTGTGTTTGGAGTACAACACCTATTTCTGGGGCGTCCAGGATCATACTTCTACACCTACCCCATATTTCGATTTTGGTAACAGTTAACATTTTTATATTATTTTGCCTTATTTTCCTTTCTTGCTGTGTCTCACTTTTTATAAGGGAGATATTGATATTCTTGCAAGCCTACTGTCATTACTAACAAATTATAGGAGCACTTTAGTGTTTGGGATGCAAACATGTTTTTCTAACATTATAGTGCTGGAGTAAATAATTAGGTCCCTGCCTCCCTCTCTGTGGGGGGTAGCTTAAGGTAGCTTATTTACCTTTTTTTTCTATCACTGCTCATATCTCGTCATGGCTAGCCCTTCCTCCATGGCTGAGACCATCAATTTTCCATAGCAAAGCATTTGCAGGCTATTACACATGCGCGGTAAATGCTGCACTGCACCAATCAGCATCTTCTCATTGAAATTCATTGAATAACTGTATCTCTACAGGGGGCTTCAGCATCTCCATGCAGAGCGTGGAGATACTGAACTTAGGTGCTGCAACTAGGTAGCATCTCTAGTGGTCGTCTGAGTGACTGACAGTAAAGGTGTTACTAGGCAGTAATGTAAACACCGCCTTTTCTCTGCAAGGACTTGCTATAGACTCCAGAACCACTGCATTAAGTTGTAGTGGTTCTGGTGACTATAGTGTCCCTTTAAGATCAAAATAGCCAAAATGAAGAAAAATTGTCGACTTTGAAATCCACTTGGAAATTTAATTGTTGTAAATAACATTGTCAGAGTCCCTTCATTAAACTGGAATAGTCAATACTAGTACAGCAATGATACTTTACCATTAAAGCTGCCGAGTTTGCAAAGACTTGTGGCCAGGGGGTGACAGGTAAAGGTGAGATTTAATTACCTGAATGTGTCCCTTGTGGGTGTGGCCATCTTGTTCTGGTGGGTCCTGTTCAGAGTGTACAGCATTGAGAGTACAGCATTGAGGTTTATAGAGGATCCCGTGAGACCGCTGGATCCATTATAGACAAACCAATTCCTTGCAGCCATCACTGGGGATGGCTGACAGGATTGATACTAAAGCAAGGCCCGCCAAGAGTCAAGCAGTAGAAATATATAGCCCAAACTTTGTCTCTTTGTATCTCTTGACGGGGTAGCAATTTCAGTGAAATTCCAACACAGTCAAAATGTTGTATTTCATAAAGATTCTATCTCTTTGAAATACTAATTTTTTCAGGGGGAATGAGGGAAAGGGTGACAGTGCAATGGTTGATTATTTAATGGCTGAAGATAAACTGTGGACATTTCTAACAACTTATAAGTAGCATATGTTCCTACAATTGATAAATCAAAGTCAAAAACTTTGTTAGCTTTATTTTGCTACTTCTGCTTTATTAGGTTTTTCAGTACTACGTAATTGTTTCTGCTTGTCATAACTCAACCTGTAATACACTTAAATTGCTCATCAAAAAGATTATGGAAAAAAAAAAACAACAACGATTAATGCTAATATACAATGTGCCAAGTGTATCCTGACACATCCTGATAGCCCGTACTTGAACTTTTGTATTCATTATGATTGATTGTTTTGTAGCTGAAGATAAAAACAAAACAGACTAAATATATTGTTCTCTGTATATTTGTATATACCTGGTTACCTGTCCTGCCACAACCCGATTGTTCTATGTATTTTGTACTAAAACAAATTTAAGTCCCATGCCATGTATGTTAGCGCCATAAAGGTTCATGAGCTTATAAGGTTCTTTGCAAAAAATGCTTGAGCGTGCATCTACTTGAATGGCATTTCAGATGTCCAAGAGTATGTTTCCCACTGCATCATGGGGCAATTGCATCACCCTGGATATAGAACTGCAAAGAAGGAGAATGTTCCATATTACCTCTTCTGTGATACTCAATCGAGTAAGCACTTCCATAAAAACAACCATTTAGATATTAGCATATAAATAGGCACCATGCAGCAGCACCAGGGCCCGCACACTTGTGGGCCTATCGAGTGGCTCATGCATTTAGGGCAACTTGATGGATATTGCTGACCAGAAGCCCAGTCAGGCTTCCTTTAACAGCGCCACTGGGCCTCTGTAGTATTGGCAACCTGGATGGTAGTGAGTTCAGATCACTTCCTCCTAGCTACAAGAACAGTCGCATGGGAGGGAGATGAGGCTCAGGAGGAGAAGAAGGAGGCAGCACAAAAGAAAGGGAAGAAGCAAGGAGAGACCCAGCTTCAGACAAACACTCCCAATCAGACCCAGCCAGCAGCAGGACCACAGGCAAGCCACCTTACTGCACATAAAAGGTATGTTAACAGGAGGGTGGTTAAACTATAAAAATTTAGACATATATGTGTGTATGTATCTATGTGTGTGTTTGTTTGTGCCAGTGTGTGTATCAGTGTGTGTATCTGTGTGTCAGAATGATTGTATGTGTCAGTGTGTTTGTGTGTATCAGAGTGTGTATCTGTGTGTCAGCGTGTGTGTATGTGTCAGTGCAGGCTGAACCTTGGGTCACAGATGCTTGGGTGCAGAATTTTTTTTTTGGCACCCCCAGGTTGGTGTGGTCATCTTACTAACTCCTCCCCTTTGCAACAACTCCAATTCTCCATCTAGACACTCACTCATTGACAGTCACACGCTCTCATTGAGAGACACACTCACTGATTTTACACACGCTGACAGAAACATACTCAGACAGACACATTGACACTCTCAATGACAGATACACAATCTCACACATTTGAAACACTTACTGGCAAACACAAACGCTTACAGACACACAAATACACTCTTACAGACACATACACACACTGACAGACAATCTCAATGACAGACACACACTCTCACTGATTTAAAAACAGTCACTAGCAGACACACACGCATAGATGCCTAGACATGCAATCACATATACATATGGACATAACCATAATCGCAAACTGAACACATCAATATAGAATAAAAGGGACTGCACAGGCACAGAATTCCATTTCATTTGAATAATATAAAAGGCAAAACATAAGCAAAGAAAATGTGGTTCTCCAAACTAAGGAGGTGACCACATCTCCAGAAATATGTAGTACACAAAACAAGTAAGTCCAGCACTCAGCGTTCTAAATCACAAAATACATAAACACACAATTACACACACAGCCACATGCATACCTAGACAGTAACACACAATAAAACACACACACATTCACACAGCCATGTGGGCACTGTATTGGTCACATACACACACACATATACACACACAGCCAGTCACATTCTCACTGTAACATATTCTTCCTCACCTTGCGGTCAGCGGCCTTGCGTTTGCATGACTGACACTTGCGGCATGTTAATGGACGCCGTCCACTGTGGATCCACGGCTAATTATACCCCCACGTTCGCTCACATGATTAACGACGTCGGCGTGCACGTGATGTCACAAACGCCGCGCATGCACGTTTTGGGGTCAAAGAGCGATCTCGGCCAATCAGAAAGGTAAAGCAGGTATTTAAGCCTAAAATTGCCTTTCCTCATTGCCCTATCGTGGTTTCCCTAGTGGTTGTCTGAGAGCGCGTTCCTGATTCAAGTTTATTCTGGTTTTCGACTTTGGCTTTGATTTTGATTTCCCTGTATTTCTGGTATCCCTGACCTCTGGCTTTCCTTCATTGTTGTGTCCATATCTGTGTGCACCCTGACTATTCTTTTGTCCGATAGTCTGGCCATTCTAAGGCCTGGTAATACTGTGATGGGATTCCAGCATGGTCAAAATTTAGTAGGCCGAAATCTCCACATGGCATATGCTAATTAGTATCTGATTACAAACAGTTGGATGAGTCATCAGTATACTGAGCATGTGTGGAAGTGGATAGTACATTCCTTTGTCTGTAAATGCCATGTGGTCTGCCCGTATAAGGTGATCCTGAATATCCTGTGTGCTGATTGGCCTGAGGAATATAGGAGGGGTTATACTGTATGGGAGGGGATATGCTGCTAACAAAAGGCCTCTGCACCATGCTTTCTGCTCTCAGATATTTTTGGAACAGGAGTTCATCTGAGACCCGATCGGTGTGTAAATAAAAGACCTGTTACTTCCTGAAGACTTGTGTCCATATCTCTATGTGTGGCTTCTGCGGTTTGTTCCTGTTATTCCTCCGGTAACAACACTTTACCTATTAGTCATCTGTGTAACACAATTCTATGTGCTAGATCATATAGTAATCCTGTAGAATTGTGTCAGCACATAGCTGCTTGCGAAAGGAAACTAGAGGAGAATGATCACTGCATGGATCAATTTGCCCAGGCCTTCAGTACGCTTCTCATCCGAATAGCCCATCTGCAACCTGTGGCTTCTCCTACTGTCTCACCTCCGCCTAGTGTACCTCCACCTATAGTACACAAGGCACCTACTATCTCTCTATCTCCTCCCCTGCATTTTGATGGTAATATTCAAGAATGCCGGGGATTCCATAACCAAATAGAGTATAATTTTAAGGCCTCACCGGGATCTTTTCCCACAGACAGAGCTTAAATTGGTTACCTGATGAATCAACTTTAACTTGGGCAAATCCATTATGGGAGAGTAATAGGAGTGTGGCACACAATTACCAGGAATTCCTTACGGAATTTAAACTTACGTTTGAACCTTTAGGCAGAGAGGATGACGCCTCTACTGCCCTGATGCATATCAGACAAGGGAACCGGTCTATCTCGGAATATGTCATAGAATTTTGTACCCTAGCTTCCGAGGTAGACTGGACTAATAGTGGGTTAATCTCTGCATTTAAAAAGGGACTATCTGAAACTATGCTAGATGAGATTGCCGCCAAAAACGTATCCAAAAAGCTTAATGAATTTATCACTTTTGTCATGCAGATTGATAACAGATTGAAAACCAGAGAGGCTACTAGAAACAAGACCAGACACATGAGTATGCATTTAGCAACCCATTTCTCCAGACCTATTGTCTCTGAAATTCCTGTACAGTCTGAACCCAAACCCATGCAGTTGGGGGTCACTAGACTGTCGGAAGCAGAAAGACAATATAGGAGAAAAGAAGACCTATGTCGATACTGCGGAAAAAAAGGACACATGAGAAGCAATTGTCCCATACGTCCGGAAAACTACCGCACCTAAGCACCTTAAGGGGACAGGTCTTAGGTGTAATGGAGACGTCCTCTGGAAAGAATAAAAAAGGTGTTTCTTCTTGATATTTCGACCACCTTTGACAAAAATAACTTTTCAAGCAAATCCCTGATCGATTCAGGGGCTGCTGGAAACTTCATTGATGTTCAATTTGTTAAAGGCAATGCTATACCTATCAAGGAGAGACTATCACCTCCAGCTGTTGAAGCTATAGATGGGAGACCACTCTCACAACCATTGATTACTCACGAAACCTTATCCATTAATATCTTTATTGGTGCCTTACATAAGGAAGATATAACATTTCAGGTTATTGCATCTCCTTCTTGTCCTATCATATTAGGCTTTCCATGGCATAGCAAGCAGGATTGTGATGAAAGGTCCATATTGCATGTCACCAAAAGAGTGGGCACCATTGAATTACCCACTATTACACCTCAAACCCCTGAAGTTCCTATACAATACTGAGACATTAAGGAAGTATTCAGCAAAACTCAGTCTAATACCTTACCTCCTCACAGACCGTATGACTGTTCCATAAACTTACTACCCAACGCTATGCCACCTAAGAGAGCAGTCTATGCTCTGTCCCCACAGGAGAGTAGAATAATGGAGGAATATATTAAGCACTCATTGAATAAAGGCCACATACGCAAATCATCCTCGCCTGGTGCAGGATTCTTTTTTGTATCTAAAAACGATGGTGAGTTACGTTCATGTATTGATTACAGGGCATTGAACAAAATCACCATTAAGAACACATACCCCATTCCCCTTATTGCTGAGTTATTTGACAGACTCCAAAGCGCTAAAATATTTACTAAGCTTGACCTTAGAAGCGCTTACAATTTGGTGAGAATTAAGGAAAATGATTAGTGGAAAACAGCATTTAATACCAGAAGTGGCCACTATGAGTATCTGGTGATGCCATTTGGGCTGTGCAACGCTCCAGCTGTATTCCAGGATTTTATTAATGACGTACTCAGGGATTATATTTACTCATTTGTCTCGGTCTATCTCGATGATATCCTTATTTATTCTCCTGACGTTCAAATTCACCACAATCATGTTAAACAAGTTTTGCAAACCTTATTGAAAAATAACCTTTATTGTAAATTGGAAAAATGCATCTTTGATCAGTCGGAAGTACAGTTTTTGGGATATAACATTTCTGCCTCTGGGTTTCAGATGGATGCTAAAAAACTGGAGTCTGTTCTACAGTGGCCTCTACCTACTGGGTTAAAGGCTATTCAAATTCATTGGTTTTGCCAGTTATTACAGAAGATTTATTTAGGGGTTTTCTTCAGTAATAGCCCCCATCACCAATATGACAAGCAAGGGGGCCAGCAGTATGATATGGTCTAAAGAGGCTGTAGAAGCTTTTGAAATTCTCAAAGGTTTGCCTCTAGAGGACATATTGATACATCCTGACACCAGTAAACCTTTCATACTGGAGGTTAATGCCTCTGAGACAGGGGTAGGAGCTGTCTCAGAGGCATTAAGAGGGAGAGCCAAGAAAATCATTTGCATCCTTGTGGCTACTTCTCTAGACAGTTGTCCCCTGCTGAGCACAATTATCATATTGGCAATAGAGAATTGTTGGCCATTATTCTAGCTCTCAAGGAGTGGCGACATGTTTTGGAGGGTTCCAAGGACCCTCTTTTGATCATTACAGATCAAAAAAACCTGGCTTACATAGGAGATGCTAAGCGTTTATCTTCTAGACAAGCTAGGTGGTCACTGTTCTTTTCTCACTTTAATTTTCTTATAACATATAGACCTGGTTCTAAATGTTAAGGCCGACGCCTTATCTAGACAGTTTGATACTGAGTCTACACAGGAACTAGAAACATCCCCTATCATTCCCCCTGAATGTATCATTGCTTCCACTGTCCTTTCCCTGTCTTCTCCACTGCTTGGCACCATCATGGAGGCTCAGTCTCAGGCGCCCTGCAATAAACCACAAGACAAATTGTTCTTTCCATTGAGTGAAAGGGTAAATGTCATGAAAGTGTTCCATAACGTGACTGCTGGACACCCAGGAATTAATAAATCCACATCCGCGATCATGAGATCATTTTGGTGGGATTCCCTTAAGAAAGATGTTAAGGAGTATGTGCAGGCCTGTTCTGTTTGTGCAGTTTCTAAAGTACCTCATAATTTCCTTGTGGCTTGTTACAACCTCTTCCCGTTCTTGATGTTTCATGTTCCCACTTGTCCATGGATTTCATTGTCGAACTTCCTAGTTCTAATGGTTATACCACTTATTCTCATGGTTGTTGACCTTTTTTCTAAAATGGCTCATTTCATCCCACTCAAGAAATTTCTGTCATCACAAGGCCTGGTGTTGATCTTGCGATCTATACATGATATTGTCCATCTGCATGGCATTCCTCACAATATTGTATGATAGAGGTTCTCAGTTTGTTTCCTGGTTTTGGAGGGCTTTCAATAAGCAATTAAGGATTGAATCATCTTTTTCATCCTCTTACCACCACCAGACTAATGGTACGGCCGAGAGGGATAACCAGTCTTTGGAATTATATTTGCGTTGTTTCGTTATTAGCACTCAAGACAATTGGTCCGAATTACTACCATGGGCCGAGTTTGCTAGGAACAATGCTGACCATTTTTTGTCCGACAGCTATTCCTGCTGTGGATGACTGTCTTGCTTCCATTCGTAATACCTGGGTAAAAGTTCACTCCGCCCTGGGGACTGCTGCTGACTGTTTCAAGCATTATGCTGATAAACGGTGGGGTGCCAATCCTGTTTACCAAGTGGTTATCTTCACGCAACATAAGGCTTGAAGTCCCTAGCATGAAATTTGCTCCTAGGTTCCTTGGTCCTTTTCATATCCTTCAAAGACTCGGTCCTGTTTCGTATTCTCTGGCCCTTCCGACCTCCTTGAGAATTCCTAATACTTTGCATGTATCTTTACTCAAACCTCTTATTTGCAATAAATATACTGTCCCAAGTGTCCCTCCTCCTCCCTTGGTGGTTTCTGGACAGGAGGAGTATGAGGTCTCCTCCATAATTGATTCCAGGTTTTCTTGGGGCACTTTGCAGTATTTAGTGGATTGGAAAGCTTATGGGCTGGCTGACCGTTCTTGGGTCTCAGCCTCTGATATACATGCTGGCCGCAAGATTTGCTATTTTCATGCTAAATTTACTCTTAAACCTGGTCCTGCTTGCTCGGTGGGCGGTCTTCAGGTGGGGGGTAATGTAACATATTCTTCCTCACCTTGCGGTCAGTGGCTGTGCATCTGCATGACTGACACTTGAGGCATGTTATTGGACACCGGCCGCTTCCTCTGACTTTGGCTTACCCTTGTTTTTCCTGACTTCTGGCACCCTCAGACCTTTGGCTTACCCACGACGATTCTCCTGCTTATGTCCATAACTGTACATCATCCTGCACAGCACCCGTGCACCGACTCACAGGCTAGGCGAATTCTTACCTGACCACCTTGGCCTGTGTTTACTTGCAAGGGTGAGCACATATCTCTGCATACCGGACTCCCAACTCAGGTAAGCCCTGACACCTGCTCAATGAGCTTACAATCATATCTCATGTATACATAGACATGCACATATTCACATACTCACATGGATACACAGACACACGCTGTCAGATACATAGGCACATACTAGCATACACAGTCACATACATACATACATACTGGGTTATTTACAAAGTGAGAATTGTCAGGACTTCAAAGTGGATGACATAATAGTCAAACTGTAAACATTGAATTCTTGACAATTGTTTCAGTGAATAACATTGTCAGACACAAATTAACACACACCATCACAATAATCCCAGGCACCCATCATCATGGACACAGACACACCAAAACACAGTAACAGATATACACGCATTAACACAGTTACAAACATTCATAAAAACACAGAGGCATGAACATTAGAAGACACAAAAAGTCTAATACATAGACACACAACACACTCAGTCTAGTGGTAAATAGCAAGAAGCGCATGTCCTGTTGTTTCAGATCATAATACCCACTCCGTCGTGGCTCTGGTGTTCAATGACACACACACTTACTGACAGACACACACACTCAATATCAGAAACACTTATTGACAGACACATACCCTTACTGAAAGACACACACACTGGCAGTCACACTGACAGACACAAATTCATTACTGACAGACACACACACTGACAGACACACTTACTGACAGATACACACTCTTGCACACACACAAATTAATTTTAATGTTTGTTGCTGCTACCTTTAGGAGTCCTTATGGGTCCTCTCCCTGGGGTTCAGTGTCTTCGATGCTCTTCCTGCTCCCTCACGCTGTTTAGTGATGTGGGGCCGGAGTGACGTCATATTGCGGCTCCCGGCTTCACCATAGAGGGAGTGTGAGTGAGCGCTTCCTCACTGAGTCCAGGATATTGCTGCAGAGTAGGCATCTGCCCTCTGGGATAAGCAGGTGCCTGCTCTGCCTTGCTAAATAGGCGTTGCTACAGGGGCACTCTTAGGTTTCCAACTGGCCATCCCAACTGCAGATTTCAGTATAGGCAGGACTACAAGAGCCCTTAAAATACACATAAGGGAACATATTTATAATATTAATAGGAAATTTTACCAACATAGCGTATCTAGACATTTTTTAGAGGTTCATAAGGGCAATGCCAATGGATTAGATTTTATGGGTATTGAAAAGGAGGGAGGTGATATTAATAGCCTCCTCAGTAAAGCAGAAATGAAGTGGGTTTTTAATGTTGACACTTTATTACCTCAGGGCTTAAATGTCCATTTTGAAATAAATTAATGTAAATAAAGTATGCTTTTATTTATTATATGTACTAATTATCCTTGTTATACTTTCACCTTTATACAGGTTTTTATATTTTATTTTGATACCCCAATATCAATATCAAAAATGCTTTTTATATATTTTTTTTAGTATATTTATTAGAAATCTCTAATGCTGACTATATCTGAATATGAATGACTCAAATATAATAGTTTTTTACGTAACATGTTTAAGAATTTGGTTTCATTACCTGTTATATATATCTATAATCTTGTAATATTTACTATATAAATGGAAATCTTCAATAAGATGGCGTTAGATTGCCTCAGATGTTAATTTACTTATGTGTAGCAAGCTTTACCCTAAAAGACTCTGAAAAAATGGCGCCGATGTGCCTGCAGAGTCTAACACTCATACAAAGACTCTATAGCTTTGAAACCGATGTGGACGTAATGTCGTCATTACTGGATGACGTCGAGATGTTCGTGTGATGGAGAAAGAAGACGACTGTACGCATAGTAATAATGAAGGCGGAAGTGCCAACTGTGATTTTCCAAAAGAGGTCTGAAAAGGGCGCCATGACTGGAGGGTTTAAAAGAATAAGACTGTGCAGGAGGAAGGTAGCAACCCACTTTTGAGAAAGGTGTTAACCGAAACGCGCCCAGTGGACTTACTAGTTTTATGTGAGTTTATTTATTTTATCTTTACCAATAAATTAATTGTTTTTATCACCTATTTCCTGCATCCTGGAATATTTTGGTGTATGATCAACACTAAAGAGGCTGGTAAAGGACAAGTTTAACACACCACAACTACTTCCACTGTATCCTCCTGTGCAAGCTACTAGTCTGAGTCAGCATTTTTTAAGTGGCTCATAACCATGTGAGTTGAACCGGTAACAAGTGTATATTAGCTATTACTGTGTATACTATACTACTCTATGCAGTGGCGTACACACAATCCATGGGGCCCCGGTGCGAAACTGATCCGTGGGCCCCCCCTCTCTCCCCCGATCCATGCTCCCCTCTCTCCCCCGATCCGTGCCCCCATCTCCCCTGACACATACATACATACATACACACATATATACACACAGATACATACAGAGACACAGGCACACACACACATAGACACACACACACACACATACATAGACACAGACACATACGGGGCCCCATGGATTGTGTGTACGCCACTGTATACATAGACACACGTACATACAGAGACACACACACATACAGAGACACACACACATACAGAGAGACACAGACACACATACAGACAGACACACATACAGAGACACAGACACACACACACATACAGAGACACAGACACACATACATACAGAGAAACACACACATATACACAAAATGTTTCCTATCTTGTTACTTTCCCTGGGGTCCAGTGGGGGCTCAGCCTGATGGGAGTCAGAGTTCCCACTCTGACTCCCTCCTCCTCCTTCCTCCCGCGCGGCCTCTGATACCTGGGAGGAGTGACGTGCAGTCACTTCCTCCCAGCTCTGATGTAATCACAGGGGGCCCGGTCGTGCTCTTAAAGTGCCAAGCACAGACCGGGCCCCCTGACAATCCATATCCATCGGGTTGCCCTGACAGCATGGGCCACCCGATGGACCCCTCCATATGCGGCCCGGCTGTTTGCTGTGCGGTCTGGGGCCGCAAAATGTGGCAGCAGGCCTTGTACCGGTCGCAGCTACGACCCCTGTGACCGCGGTATGTACGCCACTGACTCTATGGTCTGTCTATATTTGCATTTTTTCAGATCCCACATTCAACATATACGTGCGGTATTTATGCAAGTATTTGTGCTCTCACTTCTGTATTTTGTATTTAGTTTTAAGATCTGCTAAGGAACCTACTTTTATTTTCCCATGATTGTAAATTTTTATATATTTATAAAAAAAATGAAATATTCACCAAGTGCTGCAAGTACTTTGATCATTTAAAATCTGTGTCCGGACAGACTGAAATCTGGACACAATTCTGGCCTATTCAGTATGGAGCAATTCAGATTTTACTGAATAAGCTTGCCATTATCAGGGCTGGCTCAACTGTTAAGTAAATTAGGTGGCTGCCCAGGGCGCATCGGCCCAGGGGGCGCAATGTCCGAGTGACCGGTATGGAGGGAGTGCACATTGCTCCTCTCTTGCTGTTCACTTCATGTACATGGCCGAGCGGACTGCGCATAGAGCATCATCTGTATCCTCTTTCTGGCCTAACAGGATACTGAGTGCAATGAACTGCTTTCTGTCAGAAGGGTAGAGGAAACAGGAGATCCTCTACATGCGGTCAACTCGGCCACGCTACATGGAGGAAGGTGAGCAGGCACGGGGAGGGCTGCAGAGAGCTGGGGCTACAGAGAGACACACAGAGGCTGGGGGTGGCACAAAGAGACAAATGGGCTGGGGGAACAAAGAGGTGCGCAGAAGAGGGCTGAGGGGGGTATAAAGAGGAGCTGGGGAAAAGAGACACACAGAGGGTTTCAGGTTGCAAAAATACACACAAATAGGCTGGGGGAGAAAGATCCACTCAAAGTGGCTGGAGGAAGATACAAAGAAAAATAGCTACACATTTAAAAAAAAAAAAAATTTGTGTTGCTAAATAGCAAACAAACAAAATGGCCAATGGATGAGCCAAAATAAACAGGTTTCTTCATTAAATTGCGAATTCAAAAACAATTTCATATTCAGGTATCAGAATAGAAAATAGCTGATTTTAAGAATTTTTTCCAATTCGGCAACTTTGACCTCCATTTTGAAATTCACTTAGAATTCACCTTGAATTCTTACTTTAGTGAATAACCCTGTTATATATATATATATTTTTTTTAGACACAATGATTCAGATGAACCAAATTATTTAAATGTGTATAAATCTACTAAATAGTTTGTTACCTGTAAATAGCTTCAAATATGTCTTTTGTAGATATTTTAAAAGCCCTTTCATGCTGGTTTTTGCCTTCTCTGCAAAAATAAAGAGAGGTTATTATTAAATTAGTCATGCAATCTGGAATAAGTATGTTTATGAAGACTGTCTTTTAAAATAATATGAACTAACTTGTTTCATAATTATGACTGGTAATTTATTACCATCCTAGGCATGTCTTGTGAATGATAGTAAAAAAAAGGATCAAATCCAGAATAAATAAAATTGTAATGAAATTAATTATTTGGCATGTTTAGCCATGTTCTATATTATATTTAAAAAAAAAAAAGTTGTTTTACTCTGAACAATTTGTTCTTTAGGAGTCAGAGACAGCGCTAGCATGACTCATAGGGAAGACAAGTCTATATTTCGTCAATAACGTGATTGTTCATGTTTAATTTGTTGTTATAAATTTTTTAGATTAATACAAAAAAAGTGAATTTACAATAAATCTCAAAACCCTTAAAAAAATATTCCAATTGGTGTCCCTAGTTGGAGAGAAAAAAATTGTAAATGTGGTTTTCCATCTCAATTTTTGATTCTATATTTTTTTTTTTAAATGTTAATTGTCAGTAAGAGAATTCTTACATAATATTTCTTAAAATAGCATAGCAGGAGGACGTCCAGTGTCATTTAAGCGATCAAAAGTCACCTAACCACCCGGACGTCCCTCTAGAGGAGGAGTTAACCCTAGCAGGTAATTATTGCAGTTTATTAAAAAACTGCAATAATTACATGCTCAGTATTAAGGGTGATGGGACACTGCACCCAGACTATTTCAATGAGCTGAAGTGGTCTGGGTAACTATAATGTCCCTTTAAGGACAGAGGAAATTGTACAAGTTCTAATCGAAACAAAACCTGGAATTTGAGCTATATGTCTGTTCAACCATAATTTACCTCTTTCATATTAAGTGCACCCACATTTATTGTATATAATTTTGTTCAGGAGAAACAGGATTTTCATTCTACATCAAATATTCATATTTGAACCATCATTTTTGAGACTTTATTTAAGCCCAAGAATGAAAATTATCCCCATCATGGCATACCATTTGAAAAAGTATACAACCCAGGGGAATCAAGATAGGTTATGTCCTTTCTTTTTTAGTGGCCATTTAGTCACAAACCCTAGCCAATGTTAGCATTCATATTTATTTTATGCATTTTTCATATAAACTGCTCTTTCACAAATTATATCATTGTTGTGATATGTTTTATTGTTTTGATACACTAATATTTGTGTTCAGTGAAGTATCCTGAGTACAACAGTACCCCCATGTACAGGTTTTATGGTGTTTTGGAAAGTTACAGGGCTAAATATAGGGCTTGCAAATTAAATTATCTGGACTTTCTGCCCGGTTTGTCTGACATATCTCTCAAATTATAATTAATACAATCAGATAATTGTGTAAAATGTATACGTAAATACATGTGTAGAATTTAAGTATATATATATATATATATATATATATATATATATATATACATATATATTCAAATTATACGTGTATAGTTATGTAATTATTTATGCAAATATATATATATATATATATATATATATACACACACACACACACACACTTATTTCCGGTGGAAGGGGATTTCATCCACACCTTTTTCCCCACCACAACTTATTTGGTATATACTTAACTTAACAAGTAACGCCAGGTCTCCATAGCAAGCCAGTAATCTATCTCATGCTGATGAGTTGAAATACCAACAAAACAGCTGTCCATGAGTGGTTTACTGGCATTGCACCTCTTCCTGAGTTGTGTTTCAAAGCTGTTGAATGCAGCAGACACATACTTCAAGGAATCTATGTATAAAGGGGAATAATGAAGCAAACATGTGGTTCTTTGATAAGCTCATTTGCATATGCCTACCCAGAATCCCTTGCAATAGTGAGCGCACTGTAAAAAGTGAGATTTCTGTGGGAAAAGAAAGTCTTATGGCTTGCCTGGTGTGTGTAATTGTGTTTAACAATGCATTAACTATCCACTTATTTCAGGTGGAAGGGGCTTTTATCCACATTTTTTTCCCCATCACAACTTATGGAAAAAGTCAGTAGTGGTGTGCTGAAACCTACGTGAGTGTAGACCTGTAATAAAAGAGCCCCTACTGGTAAAATGAAGGAGAAGGGTGGGATGAACTGAACAGCATGGCAAAAGTAAGTAGTGGGTGTGGGTTTTTATACTGGGAACATGAACTCCTCCCACAAATACAGACCTTTGGCCTTTAAACACATACATATATATATATATACCAACTTTTTCATTACTAGAGGTCTCATATAGGGACTGCCACGACTATATATATATATATATATATATATATATATACATATATATATAAGTTTTAGGGAGCACTCACAGGTCTTCAAATTGTGCAAAGAGTTTTTATATAATCTTCCAAAATTTAGCTGTGTTACAAATCAAATCGAAGTTTCGACCCGTTCAGGTCTTTATCAAGGATCTTGATAAAGACCTTGAATGGGTTGAAACGTCGATTTGATTTGTAACACAGCTGAATTTTGGAAGATAAAATAAAAACAATATTTGCCCGATTTGAAGACTTGTGAGTGCTCCCCAAAACTTATTTCTGCATATATTGAACGCGGATTTGCACCCAGGCGGACTTCCTATTTCATTTTATGTTTTTGTTGGTGAAGTGCCAAGTTGCTTTTAATATATATATATATTTATATTTTCATTCTAAGTGCATTTTTATAATATATATATATATGTGTATATGTGTGTGTGTATATATATATATATATATATATATATATATATATATATATATATATATAAATTAATTTATGTGTTGCACATTACTAATTATAATTTTTTTCTTTCTACAGTATTGGGGGGACTGCCTGACAGCCTAAGCATTGCTCTGTGAGAGTGACCACATGGCCTTGTGGGGCCTAATGCACCAGAGGGGGGCTGTCTGGGCTGTCAGGCAGTCCACGAGAAGTGGAGCACCGGATAGGTAAGAAAACCAAAGCTCCTGGGGTTTATAGCCATTACGGGTTATCTTAGATTTACAGGTAAACATGCAGAGTTTCCCTGATATTCTTTAAACATGTTATTTGTACTATTTGTATAGCAATTGACAGCCATCTGTTTTCAACTTGGTTTGCAATCTAGCTCTGACAATGCAAAACTAGGCTTTCTTTTTAACCACAAGATAATTATATAAAAAGATAATCTTTCTAAACCTTATTACAGAATAAACAATAAGGTACCAGGTAGGTATCTTAAAATGTTATATAATTGTAGAGTGTACCTTATAGCATCTGGTAAGAAATTCCAACATGTATACAGGGTGTTGGAATAGTACATCATCATGTGGTGAAGCGTTTTTGGACTTGACTTTGTGAGGTATAGACTGGAAAGATCTGTATTTGAATAGATCTCTTTGAAAGCAAAAAAAAAAAAATACATGAGTCATTTAAGTTATATAATAAACTTTCCTACAAATAGCATTCAGTATTAACAAGCATTTTAACAGAGGCTTTTTTTTTTTATTAGGTAGTTAGATTTGACCTTTAATGACCTTGCTATGTCAATTAATGTAAAACATGCCTTTTTATCCAATTTGCAAAACAGTAAATGTTAACTAGATGTCGGTATCACTGAATTAGATGTGAGTTATGTATAGATGGACAGAAAATTATGGACCATGGAAAACCTGTCTGTATGTTTTAGCTGATCTACCAGCTGTTGGCACTAATAATGCTTAATGGCTGTTTTATTGGCAAACATTAAAACAAGACCAAAATTAGTATAATGCAAAATATATACATGATATAAATTATTTATATATTTTGTGGTACACTTATAGCAATTTTTTTAAATCAATTGGTTCATAGATTAAAGAAACACTACAGGATTAGGGACACAACCATGTATTCCTGACCTTATTGTGTTAAAACCACCATTTAGCTCTCCTGGCCCTTCCCTTGCCTCCTAAAATATAGTAAAATTTTACGTTTAGTCAAGTCTGCTGCTGCTGACTCTGCCCCTGATCTGTCTGCCTGACATCAGAAGTGATTCTCCGAGCCAACCACAATGCTTTCCCATAGGATTGACTAAGACTGTCAAGGAGGCAGAGCCAGCACAATTCAAACACAGCCCTGGTCAACCAGCATATTCTCATAGAGATGAATTGAATCAATACATCTCTATGAGGAAAGTTGAGTGTCTCCATGCAGATGGTGGAGACACTGAATGGCAGTGCTGCACAGTTTGCAGCACTGTCCCAGGAAGCAAATCTACTAGCCATCTGAGGAGTGGCCAGTGGTGGTATCCCTAGCCTATAATGTAAACACTGCATTTTCTCTAAAAAGACAGGGTTTACTTAAAAAAGCCTGTATGGAATGATTATAGTCACCAGAATAAATACAATAAACTATAGTTGTTCTGGTGACTATAGTGCTCATTTAAGTGAGAAGAGGTAATAGAGGAAATAAGAGGAGGAGCAGTGTAAAAAAAAAAAAATATTATATATATATATATATATATATATATTAACAAAAGAAAAAGAAAAAAGTGGACCAATGTCATCCAAATGAATCCTGCCTAGTTATAAGAAGATCCCTACATAGAAAGACGTATATAAGATAAAGCAACTAAGTAGCATTGTGCATTTAGTGATACAATTTATCAATGTGTGGTGAGACCCTACTAAGCTTTAATCACATGCTGTCTATGTGATCAGCCAACTATAAACCTATCAAAAATGATAATTCCACAGGTTAATTCTATATGAAGAAAGTAACAAATTAAATTTAGGGCAGGAAAGAGATTGGAATAGTTTATATGGTAACAAGTATCAAAGAATTGTATATATAATGCTTCATTCAGCTAAAATCTCACTGTCACGATGACTTAACCCTAGTATTTGTAAACAAAAGAAAAAAAGTGGACTAATATCATACAAATGAAATAGTCGTGTCTGGTAAGAAGATCCCTATGTAGAAAGACGTGTATTAGAGAGGAAGAGAGAAGAGAAACACTACATATGTGGTTTAAATCACCATTGTGAAACTGTAGTGTATTGTTCTCCTATCACCTTAAAATTATAAATAAATCCCTAAGTAGGGTATGTAGACAATCAAATGAATGTGAAGGAGACACAAGGTCACACGCACTGATGAACTTCACTGCACATTATGTACTTTTGACTCTTTACAATCCTGTTAATTTTAGTTAGTTGAAAAGGGAGAGGTTTGGTATGTAGGCTGTCAGTGTTTTATCACTTATAACCCAGTTATTTTTTCTCTCTGTACTTCCTATTACTTATGGCCTTGTATGTACTTTCCGTTACTTTGCATCACAGGGTTAAGAGGACAGGGATCCTGCTCCAGACCACTTAATTGAGATTAAGTGATCTGGTTAAGATAAAATATGTAGTTATTTGGTAGCTGAAGACTAGGGTTTGTTATTGACGTTACAACTGAAAATATAATCAGATTTTTTTTTTATCAGAGTGAAAAAAAGTAGTTTTAGTAGGTTCTTCATAATTCATTATTTTATTTATATAATCTAATGTGTAGTACAATTTATCAACACAGTATATTTATTATGAATTTATAGAACATTTTATCTACGAGGGACCTAATGCCTTGCATTGTTTGAGCATGTTTAATAAAGGTAATATTTTCTGCAAGAAGATATTTTACTGTAAAAAGCTCTAATAAAATTATGTGTGTTGAAAAAATGCAAACTAAAATAATTCAGAAATATGTTACCATTTCCATTTATCATTTCTACTTTCAAGAGTTTTAGACCCACACAAGCACTCAAAAGACGATCGGCCCCATCGATGCTTATCTCCAAACGAGAGGCAATATCTGCTGTAGATAAACGCTCACTTGACTCATGCAATAAATCAAAGACTCCGAGTTCACATGCTGTAAACATTGTCTGTGAGCAAAAGAAAGCAAATATTTAATAATGGCCTTCTTGTTTTAAATGTCTGATAATTAACAAAACAGAAAGTACAGCAGATCTGTTGAAATAGGGAATACTAATAACAAGCCCAGATTATGTCTGAAACTAACTGGGAATCCACACCCCTGCAACGCAGAGATCTTCACTGAGCTACATCTTATTTCTCTGATCCAAGAGAACGAGACCCCAAACGAATAGAAAAATTAATAAAGGCCTAAGTTACAGGCAGTGTCTGGTAAAAAAACACAATTGAATAAATATAGCCCAGCACATTGTCAAACACAGTAATAGCTTGATATGACTAGTCACTTTGAATGCCTGCCTAATCGTGATGCTTATTTTAATGGAAGAAACCTTCTTTAAACATACATAAGCATAGAATTTAAGCTAAACGAGTAGGCCACGTCTAAATGAGTAGGTAACATTAATACAAAAGTGTCAGACAAACACTTAGACATCAGTTATTTGTCCCAGGAATTTATGTATATTCACATACACGCACTTAAAAATTCATACAAGTACACAATTATTGATTCCCTTCTCACCTTCGAGACCATGAACCCATCTTTATATTCAAGCAGTTGCTTTGGATAGTTCAGATCTTCTGCCCCAGTCATGTCGGTATGTAATGTCACAGTTGTGATTCTCCAATCCTTATTTATCTAAGCTGATTTGCAACTAGAGATATATCTTTGCAAGAGGATTAACTAATCTCATTTAATTGTTTTCTAACATGACCCAATTTTAAATTTGACTTGCTCTGTAATGCGTCACTTAGATGTGCAGTGTTGGAAAATTCTGTCTGTCTATTATTTTATCCTTTATAAAAGATGCATCATAGATTATTCATCTTGTAGATTCACCAGGCAATAATGATAACAGTATACCTGGGATTATTCAATTTCTGTATAATAAATCCAAGATTCAAGGATGGAGTTTATAAGCGCATGTGCAAGGACAAGGAAACTAATTAGTTATGCAATTATACAGGAAGGATAAACTGTTTAGGAATATTTTACTATTTTTTTTAAAAAAACCAGTTTAATAGAAGTGTTATCCGACGGTGCCCAAAAAACTCTTGTAGTCATACAGCAATACGGTCAGGCATATTCACTAAAGTGAATTTCGAATTAAAGGTCAAAATAGCCAAACTGGAAAAATTCTCTAAGTCAGCTATGCTTTCACTTCTGCTGCTCTGGCCTTAAATTTTTAATTTACTTTGTATTCACTATGAATTCTCAGTTTAAGGAACTTTAACTTGCGGCTTGGTGAATGGTGTCAGGATCAAGGATGTGGTTGTGTTTCTCATGGTAGTTCTATTTTTAATAGAAATGAACTGAACAAAAAAGATGGTTTGCATCTTTCTCAAAAGGGAACAAATGTTCACAGTAAGCAGTTAGAAACATAGAATGTGATGGCAGATAAGAACCACTTGACCCATCTAGTCTGCCCAACTTTCCATATACTTTCATTAGTCCCTGGCCTAATATTATATTTAGGATAGCCTTATGCCTATCCCATGCATTCTTAAACTCCTTTACTCTGTTAACCTCTACCACTTCAGCTGGAAGGCTATTCCATGCATCCATTACCCTATTATGCTGCGGTAGTTTTTTTTTTCTTTTAAATATAGTCTCCTCCTTTACTGTGTTGATTCCCTTTATGTATTTAAATGTTTCTATCATTTCCCCCCTCTTGTCTTTCCTCCAAGCTATACATGTTAAGATCCTTTAACCTTTCCTTGTATGTTTTATCCTGCAATCCATGAACCAGTTTAGTAGCCCTTCTCTGAACTCTCTCTAAAGTATCAATATCCTTCTCGAGATACGATCTCCAGTACTGCCTACAACACTCCAAATGAGGTCTCACTAGTGTTCTGTACAATGGCATGAGCACTTCCCTATTTCTACTGCTAATACCTCTCCCTATACAACCAAGCATTCTGCTAGCATTTCCTGCTATTACATTGTCTGCCTACCCTTAACCCCTTAAGGACCATACTTCTGGAATAAAAGGGAATCATGACATGTCACACGTCATGTGTCCTTCAGGGGTTAAGACATCTGAAATAATTACCCCTGAATCCCTATCCTCAGATGTTGAGGTTAGGACTCTATCAAATATTCTCTACTCTGACCTTGGGTTTTTACATCCAAGATGCATTATCTTGCACTTATCCACATTAAATGTCAGTTGCCACAACTTTGACCATTTTTCAAGTTTACCTAAATGTAACGAACCCTGAAGTATTAGCTAGTGGTTCGTATGATTTGAGCTGAATGGCCGAGAGCCTGAGTGATTATAGATTGCCGTTCGGTTCTTTTATTCGTCAGTTAAATCCCAAAGACACAAAATCCTCTACTGCAGTTTTCCCAAATAGCAATCAAATACCCAAACACCAGGCGAAACATGATGAAGTGTGTAGCAAGAATGGTGTTTATTGAGACCACTCGGGCTTTTATGGAGGTCCCCCTGCAAGAGGACCTCCTACAGTACACAAGCACAATAGCCAATCACATTGTAAAGTTAAAATAAAACACTCCCTCTCTCTGCCTGGGAGATAATGAGATAAGTTAAGGAATAACCCAATATTGCATAAAATAAACAAATGAGTTAAAAATAAATCCGTCCAGAGAAAACCACGAAATCACTGCTGGATTTCTCACACTGCTCCCCTTTGGTCCATCGGTTGGCATACCCGCCTAGACCGTGCCGGGTTGGCTAGGGGATGACCGGGAAAAGTAAATGTTATAATTCCAACTCGGTTTGGCGGGATAAACCGTCCGCATTTCCATTCTGTTTGCCTGGCCTGTACTGCATAGTGAAGTTGTACGGTTGTAAGGCCAGGCTCCAGCGTAATAGTCTAGGATTGTCTCCGGCTACTCGGTTGAACCAAACTAGGGGGTTGTGGTCAGTCATTAAAGTAAATGGACGGCCATACAAGTAGGGTTGGAGCATTTTGAGGGCCCATACCAAAGCTACGCATTCTCTTTCCACTGGGTGCTCCATTCCGTCATCCCCCACTTGTCTTAGCACGGCTCCCAGCCCAAACATGGAGGCATCTGTGTGCACGAGAAACAGTTTGTTATAGTCTGGGGTGTCTAACACAGGTGTCTCGCTAAGCACCATTTTTAATTTCTGAAATGCCTCCGCACACTCCGGGGACCAAACTACTTGCTTGGGAAGGGCCTTTTTAGTTAGGTCAGTAAGGTGTTTGGCCAGGGCACTATACTCAGGGACAAATTTCCGTTAATACCTTGCCTTCCCTAAAAATGCTAGCACTTGGGTTTTGGTGAGAGGCTGCGGCCAATTGGCAATAGCCTCTACTTTGGTGGGTTCAGGCAGCTGTTTGCCTGAACCCACTGGATGCCCGAGGTACTGAACCTCCACCATACCTACATAACATTTGTCGGGCTTGAGAGTAAGCCCCGCAGCCTGAATCCTCTCTAGTACCCTAAACGAATGTCCAGAGAAAACCACAAAATCCCTGCTGGTTTTCTCACACTAAATCATTTGCAATTTGGCCTATCCCTCCTTGAACATCAACTCTGTTACATATTTTTGTATCATCAGCAAAAAGACATACCTTACGATCAATACTTTCTGCAATATCACTAATAAAAATATTAAAGAGAATGGGTCTAAGTAAAGATTCCTGAGGTAACCCACTGGTGACAAGATCATGCTTCGACCATACTCCATTGAATACAACCCTCTGTTGCTTGTCACTCAGTAAATTCCTTACCCATTCAACAATATTGGAATCCAAACGTAAAGATTGCAGTTTATTAGAATCCAATCTTCAATGTGCAACAGTGTCAAAAGCCCTACTGAAATCTAGTTAAGCAATGTCTACTGCACCATCCTGATCTATTATTTTAGTTACCCAAACAAACTAATAAGATTAGTTTGGCATGATCTCCCTGAAGTAAACCCATGTTGTCTCTGATCTTGAAATCCATGGGATTTTAGATGTTCAACAATGCTATCCTTTAACATGGTTTCCATTACTTTCCCCACTACTGAAGTAAGACTTACTGGCCTATAGTTGCCCAACTACTACCTTTCTTGTGAATGGGCACAACATTCACTAACTTCCAATCTTCTGGGACTACTCCTGTTAACAATGATCGGTTAACTAAATCTGTTAATGGTTTTGCTAGTAGGCAAGGGCATTCGTATTCATTTGAATGGATTTTCATACGAAAATCTGCATTCTCAGACATTCGTACGAATAACGAATGGCTAGACAAACGAATGAATGAACAAAAGAATGGGGGTCCAATTAAATTCTTTCATGAGCCTTTCGTTTGTTCGTTCATTCAGCTTTTTTGTATTACACTGTCTGTGTAATTCAGAAAGCCGAACTAGTAACCGAATGGCAATATATTCATTATTTCATTCATTAGTTCTGTTCACTCCCATCAAATTTGATGGGATTGAACTGAACTAACGAATGCTTACGAATGAATATGCCTTTCCTTCATTTGTATCACTAGTTTAGCTTTTTGAATTACAGACAGGCAGTGTACTGTCTATAAAGTATTGTGTAATACGTATTGCAATGCAAACTGCCGAATAAGCAATAGAAATGCATGGATGCAATAATAATGGGAGTGAGCCGAACAACGTTTGCAAACTGAACGAACAAGTCATTTGTGCATTCGTATCAACTGTTCGTGCTTTCTTAATGCAATTGCCTCAATTAGTTTGTTCATTCATTCGAATGCCTTCTATGAAACAAAGAGGAGGGGTATGGGAATAAGCTGTTTTTCATTTATCCAATCAGCTCACTCCTGTGACATTATGGTGTGGGGGCTTATCCAATGTTGCATGCTGTATCGTAGGTGGGTTTGGGAGTCAGCTGATTTCCATTTGTCTAATCATCTCACTCCTGTGACATGATGCTGTAGGGGCTTAGTGGGAATTAAAAAAATAACCAAACAGCAGTATTAAAGCATGCAGGAGATCTTTCTCTGCCCTTCTTTGACAGATTTTTTTGATGGTGAAACACTGTGCTTCTGTGCTGTGCTAGCCTCATTACTTGTCTTAGAGATTTTCTGTGAGTCTTGATGTGCCTATCATTTCTCACTTGTTAAATTTGAGACTATTCCTCATACACTTTTTTTTTTACTTTTAGTGCTTTCTGAGAACTATGCACTGCTGTGCTGCTGACTCAGTTTGCCACACGGTGCCTGGCTGGCACTACCAGTGCATGCCTTCCCTGCTTGATTACTCCCTACAATGACCAAGTTTTACTTTTTATAATAATTCAGCGTCTTTATTTAATCAAAATTAATTAGCTTAAATTGATTTAGATTTATAGTAAAGGTAGTTGATTTTTGCTAGACATTTATCTTACAAAGGTGCTGCTGTTGCTGCAGTGCTGTTTCATTCTGAGTGCTGATAGAGTAAGTTAATTTTCTGTCAGTCTCAGCTAAGTGTGTTTGACTGAGTTTTAATTTGTTTTAAAGGAACACTATAGTCACCTAAACAACTTTAGCTTAATGAAGCAGTTTTAGTGTAGATCATGCCTCTCAAGTTTCACTGCCGAATTCACTGCCATTTAGGAGTTAAATCACTTTGTTTCTGTTTATGCAGCCCTTGCCACACCTCCCCTGGCTCTGATTGACACAGCCTACATGAAAAAAAACTGGTTTCATTTTCAATCAGATGTAATTTTCCTTTTTTTTAAACCAATTTTTTATCTCTATAAATTGAACTTGAATCACATACAGGAGACTCTTGCAGGGTCTAGCAAGCTATTAACATAGCAGGGGATATGAAAATCTAAATTAAATAGAACTTCAAATAAAAGGAAGGATAAACATTAGATGACTACTTACAGGAAGTGTTTAGGAAGGCTGTGCAAGTCACATGCAGGGACGTGTGACTAGGGTTAATAAACAAAGTGATTTAACTCCTACATGTCAGATAATTGAACATTGAGACTGCAGGGGCATGAGCTATACACCAAAATTGTTTCATTAAGTTGTGTTGATGACTATAGTGTCCCTTTAAGTGAATCTTTACTCCAGTCCACACAAAGTTAGTTTAATCTGTGCTAGTAAAACAACTACTAGCACATAGTCACAGGGACTGACCGACTGATTTCTGTCACTCACTCATCTTCAGTTTTAATTAAAACATTTTTATTTAAAATATGTAACATTGGTGCTTTGTTAGAACAGAACACACTAGTCCGCTTTTTTTTTTCCCAAAATTTTTTTTTTATTATAATAACTTTTTATTGAAAACATTTTTTTTTTTACATATCACAAATAAGCAACAAATAACAAGGAGTATTCTATTAATATGAAATAATCAAGCATTTAGTACAAAGTCTTGTTATTTGTGTACTAGCAATCAGACAAAAAAAGAAAAAAACAGAACAAAGACATAGACATGACCAAGACAACTAAATAATACCACCACCTATACAGAGCAGGAGAGCTTTCTTACTAATATATCAAAAATACCAGAATTAATTATCATATAATATTACATGAAAATTCACTTGCTGAAACAACAAAAGAGCCAATTGAAACCTTCAGACCATAATTATTACTGTATAGTTTTTCTTACTTTTCCCCTTTCTATTGCCTTTACTTTCTTCCCTTTTCTTTCCTCTTCCTATCCTTTTCTTTGCCCTTTTCTTGTCCATTTTTTCCCCTTGTTATATAAATAAGAGACACGAGCCATAAATTTGTTACCATTAAATATGGGTAAGTTTATGAAGCCAATTAGAATACCATACCAATATCTTTTTCCATTGTTAACTGAAATATAATTTGATCAATAAAACAAGATTTCTGGAAAAAATTTGAGGACTTCCAATGTCTGGCTATATTGATTTTGACCGCAACAAAACAATGTATAGCATAACATGTGTGTTCTTTCGATTTTAACTGCCAATTCAAGTGTAAAAGGGTGGTGTCCGGGTTTTGATTGAGTCTAATACCTGTAACTGCATAGATGGAATTAAATGCCCATATCCACAAGGGTTTAACTAATGGGCAATCTCACCAAATATGCATATATGTGCCCAGAGACAAGCCACATCTCCAGTAAGTGGAATCATATGATTGATACATTTTTGTCAATCTTGTTGGAGTGAAATACCATCTATGAACTACCTTAAAATGGCACTCAGTCAGGGTTAGACAATGTATATATTTATTTACTTTTATTAACGAGGCTAGCCAGTCATTAAAGGGAATCATCAAATTTAATTCCTTCTCCCAGATGTTAATCAGTTTATTTGGTATTATCTTAGTTTCACCAAGCAAAGAGTTAGCAACAGAAGTAACCTTAGAAAGCGTTCGGTAACAAAATAAAGTTTCCAATTTCTTAGCGAAGGGAAAAGACATTGGAATAACACATTTCTGTATGAAATGTTTGATACGAAGATGAGTAAATATCTCTCTAGGAGAGATATGTATATTATCAATGATCTGTTGAAAAGACAGAATATTATCTCCTTGAGATCTGAGATACTTAGAGAGTCAATATTACCCCAAGAAGTCAGTGAAAAATACTCTATTATACCCTCCAAAATATTAAGACTACAGGATCTTGGTATTAATTGTAAAATATTCAACATTTTCTTAATTTCTGCCCAATCCTCTAGAGTTTGAAGCAATGTGGAAGGAAACCAATTTTTTGGCTGTTTTGAAATCTCTTTAATATCCATCCACATATAATGATATGGTCTAGAACAGTGTTTCCCAACCCAGTCCTCAAGGCACACCTACCAGTCCAGGATTTAGGGGTGACCCAGTTGTGTCTAAGGTGTTTTTTCTAAAAACACCTTAGCCACTACTATATAATCCCTAAATCCTGGACTGGTAGGTGTGCCTTGAGGACTGGGTTGGGAATCACTGGTCTAGAAGAATGGGCAGCTTCCGACTCTAATATAAACCATGGCTCCCTGCGAACCTGTGGATCTTGAAGAATGTAAATATGCCAAATAATATCTGCATAATACGTATATAAAATACTGGGAAAGCCAAGACCACCTTGAGATAGTTTCTTAGAAATAATTTTTTGATTAATTCTGGGTCTTTTATTCTTCCAAATAAATTTATTAAAACTTGATTGAATCATTGCTAGCCAAGGCTAAGGCATTTTTAATGGAACCATAGAGAAAAAATATAGCCACTTAGGTAGAATATAGGAATTTATAATATTAATTCTGCCTATCCACTAACTTTTTTTCACTTTTGGTGTCTTTATTTTTTTGTGTGCTAGCATCAGCAGTGAAGTAGACTGTTCTGACTGCTGTTGTGAAGAAATTAGTTCTGTTATTGTGTTTATTTAATAGCAATCTGTGAAGCTAACTGGTTGCTGTTTTTATTTTGTTTATTTTAGTTCCTGATAGATTGACTGTGTGACTGTCCTGAGCTAAGCTTCAAGGTAGCTGTACATCTTTTATAAATTTTAGTATTAGCAGAAGTTGTAGGTTCTTTCTAATTTAATCAATAGTAATATAAATTCTAGTTATCCTATTTTTAAAAACACTTTAAAATTTTCTAATACATTTTTTCATACTCTGTTTGCAGTAGTCATGCAGGGAGCAGTAGTTGACAGACTGCTCATGGCAACCAGTGCAGTTTTGCATAGTTTCTCAGAATGCATTGAAGTGAAGAAAACAGTGTTGATCTATATATCAGTATATCAGCATAGTTCAAAACTTCAAATAATGTTTTCAATTAATATAAATATAACCTTTAGTTTCATAACACTACATTACATTATCTCCTTATTTTCTTCAACTTCTTTTCTTACTATTTTAAAATTAAAATGTTAAATCCTCCTAAACGTTCATCCACTAGTAAAGTGAGGGAGGGTCAGTCAGTCAGCCACCACCAATACCATCACTGCCACCACCACCACAAGTAGTGGTAGTTTGAGTAAGCAGCCTATGAGTCAGCTTAAGCGGTCAAGTAGTGCCGCTATGTTAGACTCACAACCGAGGAGGCCAAAGTCTTTGTTTCGCATTTCAGGTCCGTTGGTGCAAGATCCTGGTCAAGAAAAGGCACCAATAGCAGGCAGTAGTGCAGCAAGGCCCAGAACAGCAAGTCTTTTCTATGGTAAAGGGAAACCAGCAGGGTTTTTTAGGGTGAGCACTATGGCTGGTACTACTACTAAAAACACAACTAGTAGTAGGAGTAGCCCAATAAGTAAGAGGAAGTGAGTTTTGCACCCAGCATCTTCCTCTACCACAAGCAGGCCTGTGAGTCGTGTTGCTAAGAAGCTTCCTTCTTGTACACAGAGGCTGTTTCCTAACCCCCTCCCCACCACTAATGCTGCGCCTGCTTCTACCATTGACAGTGGCACATTAGCACATCAGCACAGTTGTTGCCATTGTCAATGCTATTCTCTGCTCCTAGTCCAATTGTTCCTGGAGGTGATATCAGTCTCACCCCAACCTTGCAGTGATTGCATTTAGTCTGGCTGATGAAGAGCTTGACTATGAGCCTGAGAGTGAGGAGGAAATAGCAGAGGAGAGTCAGAATTCTTCACTGAGCAGTCCACCTTTTTCTTCTGCTTCTAGTGCACATTTTTCCCCTTCCTCTCCACTTTCTCCAATAGTAACACCTGCTAGTGCTACATCTACCATTAGCAGATCACCACCACCACAATCAATTACCACTACTATTTCCAGGTCCACTGTTTCTCCTCACAGTGGCACAGTTACCACCACCAGTGTAACTGTGCCAACAATCACCTCCACCACTGGTACTACTAGCCACAGTACCAGTGCAGAGCCTACTGTGTCAGCTCCCACTAGTCGCACTCCTGCTGATTCTCTTCAACCTGCAGCATTCGCAGCAGAATCCCGAAGGGCAGATGCCAATGTGTTGCGCAAAGTTTGGGATCACTTTGAATGTGCTGGAGATGGGCACTTTGCAAAGTGCAAACTTTGTGGGAAGGAAGTTAGCAGGGGGAGAGTGTTGGATCATCTCACTAGTGCCAGGATGAACCATTACCTTCGCAGCCATCACAAGGTTGTGTTATTGAGTGAAGAGGCAGAAAGTACTAGGGCAGGCAGCATAGATGCTACTATTACAATGTCCAGTACCATGGCAGCTAGGAGTGACAGGGCAGGTATTGCAGAGCCAAGAGCTACTGGTACTGCCAGCCAACAACCAAGGCTGGTTGGAGCATCACAATGCGTCCAGCCCACCCTGGAACAATTTGGGGGATTACACTCCAGGGCATTTCTAAACAGCAGGCCAATAAAATCATGTGTTAATTGCTGTTGGGGGTGCTTCCCTTTCAATGATAGAATTATAGAGGCTGTGGCTCCACAATACCATCTTCCCTCATGCTCCACTCTATCATTCGTCTATTGGAGTAGTGAAAAGGGAGCTTTCGAAGGCTGCTGGTCAGTCTGTGCATTTTACTACAGATTTGTGGAGTGCACCAAGTGGCCAGCATGCCTTTCTTTTCCTGACAGCACACTGGTGGGCGCCTGGTGTGTCTCAGGAAGATGCTTCTGCAACTTCAACAGCAGCAGCAGTTTCTAGCAGAAAGGGAAGAAGTGTATCTTTAGATCAGCTGGGCTATAGATTTTTCCTTCTCCATGCTGAAGTGATGGATGAAAAACACACTTCAGATAACATTCTGCAGGCAGTAAGGAGGATGGTGTCTCTTTGGGTAGGAGCTGAGGCAGGCACCAATGTAGAAGTGGGGTTTGTGGTTACTGAAGGAGCTTCAAATATGGTGAAAGCTCTGCGTGATAGTAACCTTGTTGGTGTGCGCTGTGCAGCACACATTATCCATCTAGTAGTCAAGCCAGCAATCCCAGAAGGAAAGAACAGAGTTCCCAGTGTGATTGAAAGGTGCAGGAGATTGCTGGGCACTTCCACTGCAGTGTGAAGGCTAGCCAACTGTTGAGGCAGGAGCAAGTGAAGGCAGGTCTTCCCACACACAGTCTGCGCCAAGATGTCAGTACACGGGGGAACTTCACTTTGGAGATGCTGGAGAGGATTTTAGAGCAGTTGAGGACAATCCATAGTCTAGCATCACACCAGTACATTGATATTGGCTCTCCACTGGATAGAGACAAATGGACAGTGGTCGCTCAGCTAGTGGCAGTCCTGAAACCATTCAGGGATGCCACTGAAAATGTAAGCTTGAACACTGCCAATCTGGGACAGGTAATCCCTGTTTTTACCCCTCTAGGGAGCAAGATGTGTGTCTTCCTTGAACACCAAGAGGTTGTTCAAAGTGACCCTCTACATCCTGATGTAGTAACTCTGGTCAGGATGCTGAAGGATCAGCTTAAGGTTTACCTACTTGAGCGAATTGATAATTGTTCTGAACTGATGCTACTTGCCCGTGTGATCCAAGGATTAAGGGAAAGCTAGCACTAAGATCCAATAGCCTAACAACTTGGAGGGAGAAACTGATCTAGTGACTGGCAGCAAAAGAGGTTTATCATGCTGTCTGAGGGAAAAGTTCAGCAGGAGGCTAAGATGTCTGCTACTTCTAGCAGAAGTGTTGGCAGTGGCACTACCACCACCACACAACTGAGTGGAACAGCTGCATTTTGGGAAGAGTTGTTTGAGGATATAGTTGGACCCACTGAGAGTGCTAGCAGCAGAAAGGAGAGTACTGCCTCAGAAATGGTCAGAGCGTACCTCTCTGAACCTTCTTTTCCCCCTAATGTTGACCCTCTTAGCTTTTGGGATGAGTAGAAGAGTGTGTGGCCTGCATTCTCATTGGTTGTGCAGGAGCTGCTATCATATCTGCCAATCACTATCCCAAGTGAGCGTGTGTTTTCGGTAACCGGTTATATACTGAATCCACAGCACTCACAAATGTCACCTCATCTCATGGAGCAGATTGCCTTTCTTAAGTTAATTCTACCCAAATTGGGGTACCCTGTTCTTCACTTTGACTGTAATTGAGCTTAGGGTTTCTCATCTTTCTAGTTATTCTTTCAGGTGATATGCTGGATATCATGTAGTAGTGTTAGAGAGAAATGAAAACTGTTATTTTATTTTCTCTCTCTATCTATTCTCGACCCCCCCCCAAAAAAAATTTAAAAGAATATTCCCTCCTCTTTCTTCCCTAATGCCCAAAAATCTCCCTTAAAGTGGTACTGGTTTCTCCCCTCTGGCTGTGTCTGACAGTGGTATGGCAATGCCTGCTACCTCCGCCAACCCAGTCAGCTAACGCTAGGGCATTGTATTTGAGCTCTGGAGGTCTGCTCCCCACACCAAGGAACAAAGGAGTTTGGATGCTCTGCCCTGTGGATGAAACAGGTGAGTGGGTCGCCAATTGG